GGAAGGATATGAATTGCTTACGGTTCTTAAATCTTTATGGAGGAGTTTCTGCCCTAAACCATGCCAGATTAAGAATGTGACAAATATTGAGTAATTTGGTATGTTCAAGAATTGCCATGGGAAAAACCCAAACTATACCAATAATTCAGGTATGCACATTCTTTGTGGATACCATAATTTGATTATATTATATAAAAAAAAACAGCTTCAAATCACAAGTCCACTTGGTTTAGTATAAAGAACTAATTTAAGGGATTTATTCCAATTCAGGAATTTTGGTGCACATACCCCTTAAATACTGTCAACTATTAAGGTTTTTTCTTAAAAATCTGCTCTTCCCATGAATAAGAAATTACTCAGGAAACATGATCATTTGGGCTACATTTAACCAGGCAAATCCGTTTTTATAAACCCTCTCCTCTTCCTCATACTTAAATAGTTCAAGAGTAATGCAATTAAGAAATAAACAGTATCTGTTCAAAAAGTAAATACATACTGGTCTAAAACAATTATTTAAAAAAGGAATTAGATGCCTTTTCTTCACTAGTAATAAGTATTCCTATTCCTTCTGAGACCGTATTCCATGTCATTTCACTCTCTGCTTTTCTGTCTTGGTTATCTGCCACCATTCTCTACCTCTCCCCACCCCGCCCAACTTCTGCTGTTTTAGGAAAGAAAAGTGAAGATCTTTTTATACTTCCCTATCAACTATTCCTCAGTAAAGAGACTAATTTTGGTTTCTTTACCATCTGATTGTTGGGGGTGCTCTTTGTTACTAGAACACTCAAGTGCATGACTACTTCTAATCTCTTCTGGTGCACAAAAGGACTGTTAGCAAGTACCAGATCCATAAATCCAGTGTCACGTTTTACTATTTCCAAATTAGTGCTATCAGAATTCTCCAAGAACAGATTACTATTACCCTTATTCTCCGGAAACAGAAAATACATATACCACAGTATCAGTACTATAAAAAAATGACATCTCATAAAAGCAATTTAGTTCAAGATACCCTACTTCCCCTACAAGGAAGAAACAGTGTTACTAACATAGAGTGTGTCTTACCCACACTTACCCACTCTAGAAGCCCTTGTGTTTACTAGAGGTTATCCAATGTTCAGCCTATAGAATTTAGTTCATACATGATTTTGAACAATATATAGGTCACTGCTAATTTTAAAAAAAGTACCATACTGCCTACTGATACACTTTTGAAACATTAATCTTCCTGAAAATCTATGGTAACTTCCTTTACTTAGAGCCATGGTTATGACTAAAGTGTATTTTGGTAATCAGCATGGCACTCTGATGAATCCATCAATTATCAGTTTTTATACTAAATAATAATGTCACTCATACACAGGATTTCACACTTTGATTACAAAATCCTTGGTAAGAGTACCTAAGATAATATGTAGTGTTTGATTTAAAGGTCAACTGTAAAGCTGGATGGGCAAAATTACCTCCATAATTCAACATCGATAAAGAAACATAAGCTCATAACACATAAAGATTCAACTAAGGAGTTTTCATTTGTAAAGACTAAATGCAGTGAGACTTTTAGAGCTCTCATAAGTACCTACAGATTTTACAATAAAGGTAAGAGTGACAGTTCTGTCTCTTTATATACATTTACATAATCTCACTTAACTATCAAGTTAAAAAAACCTGCACGGTATGTATGTAATATCTGAGATACATATATAACTGTACAAAAAATTTGTGTATTTATAGCACATACCAGGATACACCACTTAAAATTCACAATTTATAATACATCATCAGTAGACATTAGCAAACTATACAAATAAAACCATTAATAAGATATAAAGACATATGCCACTAAGGGATCCTTACAATCAGGTTTCCAACAATCTTTTGGTTGTAGCTGACAGTTCACAATTGCAGCCATTCATAACAGTTCCTGGAATGTGGCCTACAAGAGTTCACACTGGTCAGCTATCTGTGGAAAACGATCTGTACTGTGTTCCCTTTCCAAAAGTGCCAGTAATATTTTGCACCTCTCCCCATTTATCAAAAAGGGGTCTGTTAAGTGTGTTGGTAATTTAAACAAATTTTGTAACTTTCACCGTAAAAGTGGCTTTTTGTGCACTATATTTTCAACCATTATTATATTCTCCAGTTTACACAAAATCAGTTTGAGAGAATCAACAACTGACTATAAGTCTTTCCAACGAGAAAGGCTAGAATATTTAACTTTACGGCAATTAGTAATATAGAGTCAACAGGCAGTGTTAACTGAACTTTAAAACATTTCCTTGCTTTCTATATATAACCGTCAGCCCTTCTAAAGGTACATTATTAAAATGTATTAATATGTAAGTCCTCTTTTTTAAAAATAAAGAAGTCTCAAAATGAAGCTTTGTAAAAGGTAATGGAGCCGAAAACACAAGATAGTTTTTTCAATATATCAGACTAAAGAACCTCAATCATTTTTGTTAATCTTCCATTTTCCTTCCTTTTCTCAAAGAACGAGACTATGTTTACAAACATATTAACTTTAAAAAAAAAAAGCGAGCGGTTTACAAAATTTTCGGGTCTGAAATTTGTCAAGCTATTCACAAAGTTAAAGTCATAATTACTCAAAACCTCTCACTCCAATGTTTGCATCTAAATGGCTGCAACTAAAATTGTATGCAGATTTTAATTTAAGAAGGCAACCCCAAATCACTGTATTAAAATTATGATTTTTGTTGGTATGGTTTCCTCAAAAATAGTTATCTCAGTAATTTAAACATATGCCTAGAAAAACTGTGTTATTTAATTTCAAGCATACAATTTAAAATGCCCTCTTTCACAAAGACTTTCCATTAAAAACAAAAAACAAAAAACTATTTCTACTTAATGGATTTATTCCTTCACCAGGTGTGTTGGTCCAGTGACAAAATAGTCAAATGTGTAAGATTACATCTTGAAAACTAGCATGTTAAATTAAAAACCAGTCAAAGATTATAACAAAAATTAGAAATGCAACATTGGTAAGCAATGCAGATTTTAAAAGACTGGGTGGGGGAGGGAAATACCATATTTAAGATATGACTGCACACACATCAAAACCCCTGCACTGGAGTAACTATTGCCAATTGATAAGAACAGATACAGTAGTAGCTGTAGCTCATTCACCTTCCGAAATAAAGTCTTAAAATTATTAACATTTTTAATAAAGAGGATAAATAATTGCATCTTTGAGGTCATACCTAAAGAATACATTCCAGAGTTTCCATTTGTCAACAGATCTCTCTGCTTCATGCCACATCATCATATTAAAATCTGGGGAATGTAACTGCATATGCTTTAAACTGAGAGGCATGAAGAGGAGAGAAAAATACAATCTTCATTCATAGATGCGCATGTGTTTTACAAGGAGGGGGGTGTGGTTTGGGAAACCACTCATCATTTCTTGAGATATGGAGGCAATGTACTTCAGGAACAGAGGCAAGCAAATGGTTATTTACGAACCCATCAGAAAAAAACTGGCTTCTGGCAGCTAGAAAAGGGTGAACAAATAAACTCAATCTGCATTTTAGGTGTGTCCCTATGTGTGAAAAGTGAAATATGGGAGCAGATGTAAAGAGGGATTTTTCTGAATGGCTTGTGGAATCAGTTTCTTTACTTGGTAGTCCCATCCATATAAAATTTCTCAATGACTAGCTAGCTGAGCTCACTTATGGACAAGTGGTATTCTCTAAGAGTTCTCAAATGGAAGAAAGACTCCCAACAAGCAAGTCACCTACAAAAAAAAGATGAACTTTGAATTACAAAAAGCAGAGAAGATGATTTCATGAGTATTTTTCAAACCAAAAGAAGTATGTAACAAAAATACAAGGCTAGTTGAAACTGAAAAGTTAAGAAAAGAATGCAAAGGAACTCAGAAGAAACAGAAGAAAAAGCTTTAACAGATCTCATTGTGCTATATACCAATTACTCTAGAAATCCATAGATATCTTTAAACACATCTAAAATCAACCATGCTCAAAATAAAAAACCCAACAAATAAATGCCTAACTGTAAAGTACCTGAAACCTTCTCTGTAATTTTTAAGTGTAATTCTAAAGCTTGTAACAAACAGTTTTTAAACATTTGCAATATATGTCAAATTTTCCTGTGATATTTCCTGAAAATCACTTAAAATCCTCAATGAATTATAACCAAACTTCAACTGTTGTAGAATTGGTAAGGCAATACACCAATTTTCACTTAAACCATTAAAAAAAGCATCCCTTAAGTAAAGAGGGAGCCAATTGGTGACAACTGTTAACACTTTTACTATAAAATTACTCTAATTTCAAGAACTGTAGCTTTTACTACTGTCAAAGAGTCTCATTTCATACTTCCCATTCTGTAGTTAAAAAAAAAAAAACAAAACTGATGGAAGATAACATCTTTCCAATACACTTCTTTAAAAAAAAAAAAAAAAGAAAAAGAAAAAAGAATCTTAACAAAGTCACCGGGAAGCCTCCTGACCTTCTATGTTCTTGTATTTAAAAGGCTGGAGGACGATAGGATCTTCAAAGCCAGACTTGACATTTCACCATTCTCTCTCCAGCCTTTGCAGATACACTGGAGGAGATTCCTTACTTACATGGATCTTTCCCTACTAGAGGACCTCCGGTTTTCCAGAATGGGAAACTTCTAACTTTATGTCTTAGTCTCCAAACTCACACTGACAAAGTGTTCAAGTGTAACTGTTACCTAAGAAAAGGACAGTCCTATGGGGGCATAATCTACTAGTTGCCACCTGTAAATGAGAGAATTAAGCTTAAATCCACCTTTCTGAATGAACAAATGTTGTGTCCTTATCCAGTTGTGCTCTTAAACGAATGTGACAAGACCAATTCTCATTATACCTTCACATTAGCAACCTAAAACTATGCCTTTTCAAGAACTGACAAATCAACCTTACTAACACAAACTAATTTTTATACTTAAAAACGCTAAGGGACTCAAAGTTAAAAACAAAACAAAACAACTTTTCTTAAGTTGCATTCTAAACTAAAATGTTTGGTCAAGCATTCCTATCAAATATTTTAAGTAAGATTTCCATACCTGTCTTCATCACCATCAACAGGAATAGCTATGCTGAATACAGAGGTGGCCAGACTGTTCATAGGTGTTAACTGAAGGGGGTTTGCCAGGGCATCTGCAACAGGAGGCTTCACAACAGGCTTATTTTCAGCAATGAGAGAAAGTGGTGGTTGAGGTAGGGGTTCTGATTTTCTTCTAGTATCGTCAACTTGCCCGACTGAAGGTTGGGTCTGAGTCTGAAACTGGCTTAGGTCAGACTGTGGTAGACTTGGTGCACTGGGTGTGCCTTGCGCTAAGGGCAGCCCAACATGCTGGATTATGCTGCTGCTCCTGCTGACTGGCGTATGGCTGCTCAGCTGCTGCGGCTGGACCAGAGGCGCGGGTACATTTGGCATAGTAACAGAGGTGGTAGACACACTAGGCACGCTTGGAGCGGGCATGGCTGCAGGCACGTTTGGAACTCCGGGCAGCACGGCGTGGGGGCCGCCAGGCACGACTGACGGCGCACCACTGCCACCCATCTGCGGCGGAGGCACGGACTGGGGCTGCCCGGTCCCAGGGGGAACCAGGCCCGGCGGCACGGCGCATCCCACAGCAGCCAAGGGCACTCCGGCCGGCTGCCCAGGCGCGGCCTGTCCGCCTGGCGCGGGTCCCGGCCCCGGGGCCACAGCTTCACTGGGCAAGGAAGACACGCCCATTATCTGCGCCCCCACCGAGGCGGCACTCTGGCCGGTGCCCACTGGAAGGCTGGCAGCCGTGGCAAGGCTCGCTCCGGCGCCGGTGGACGAGGGCTGCGCGGGGCTAGGTGGCTGCAGGCCGGCCACGTGCTGCGGTAGGTACTCACTCTGACCCGCGGGCTGGACTGGCAGCAAGTGTCCGGGCGGTAGCTGAGGCTGGGGGTACGCGAACGGCTGGGGCTGCTGCGTCGCAGGAGCGCTGACGGCCGGGCCCGGCTGCTGCGGCAGGGCCACGCCGGGCTGCGTCAGGGTTACATTCGTCAGGGGCAGCCCCTGTCCGTTGGGCCCCTGCGGGAGGACGCCGGGGCCGGTTCCCTGGGGCTGGCTCGGCTGCGGGGCTGCCATCATTTGCTGTGGCCCGGCCGCGGCTCCCGGGAACGGCGGCACTGGAGCCGCGCTTTGAACCACAGCCCCACCTACGGGCGGCGGTGGCTGTGGCTGTGGCTGCCCAACGCCAAAACTCTGCGGCTGGGCCGGGGCGAGCTGGCTCATTTTCTCCGACGGGGGTAGCTGTGACACAGCAGTCAAGGAACTGTCAGTTCCCGAGTCGGGCCCATGCGCCCCCTGCATGGAGGCCACCACCACCACCACCGACCCTCCGGTGGCGCCCAGGCCGCTGTCCCGTTCCGCAGTCTGGTCAAAAGTATTGCTGTGCCTAATGCAATCCCCGGACCTGGTTAGGACGCTGCTGTCTGAATCCCGCTCATAGTACTCCATACACGTCCATCGGCCGCGGCGGTAGGGCTCCCCGCTCCCGTGGTCCAGCTTGATCACGCGAAAACGGGAACTACAAGTGGTGGGGGGCTGTGATGCGGCTGCGGTCCCGGGCCCGGCAGACGAGCCCGCGACCGGCGGGGCGCCAGGTGCCCCGGAGGAGGGGGCCGAGGTGGCGGCCGCCACCAGGGTACTGGCCAGCGCCCCAGCCACGCTCCGGGCCGAAACGGCTCCTCCTCCGTTGGCGGGAGCAGCCGCCGCGGCCGCCAGCTGCCCGTCCAGGAGGAGGTTTGGGGAGACGGTCCCGGGAGTCTCGGCATCCCCAACATTGTTGAGCGTCTCTTCCGAGGAGCTGCGCTCGCAGACCTCCTCAGGGCCATAATCCGTAGCCCGAGAAACGTCGAATATCTCGGAGGAGACGTCCTCTGTACGTGACTCGTCCGGGTCGTCCAGGCTCTCAGTGTCCTCGGTGATGCTAGTGGCCACCTGGGCCGTGGTGACACTAGTGATCTGGAAGCAGCTCTTCTTCTTGGCCGGCATCTTGGACATGGTGAGGAAAGCTGGAGGGCAGAGAGGCTCGCCGGCTCCTCTGCAATCTTGCCGGAAACCAGAAGGGCAGAGCAGGGGCCCCCAAAGACAAAGTCCGAGTCCGCGCTGGGGTCTGAGGCCCGCCGCTGTTAAGAGTCACTGGCTGATCCGGACGCTGGCCGCTCTGTGAGACATCCTCCTCCCGGTTTCCTTCTGAGTCGATCTCTATGGCTCTGCCCCCGTCGCACTCGCGCGGCGGCTCCTCCTTCCTTTTCGCCTCCCGCAGCCGCGGCGCCTCAATTCAATCCCCTCAGCGGCGGCGCGAGCGCGATCCCAGGGGCGGGCCGCCTGCTTTCTCCTCCAGTCTCCGGGGCCGCCGTGGTCAGTCCAGCTCGGCGCTCGGCGCGGTCAGCAGGCCTTGGCTGGGGGTGGGAGTGGGAGGGCGCAGGGGAGGAGGCGGCGGCGGCGTGAGGGGCGGTGCTGCCCCGCTCGGGCTCCTCAGGCCAGTGCCGGCGTCAGCTCTGGGCTCTCGGACGCTGAGGGAAGAAGAGGAAGGAGTGGCGAATCTGGAGCCGGGGATTCCTGATTCAGCCAGGAGCGGCGGGCTGGGGCTGGCTGAAGGTCCGCGGGCGGGCGGCGGAGCTTCGGCGCGGGCGGGCGGCCCCCTCCCCGGCTTTAGCCGGAGCTCAGCCCCAGGGACATGTCGACTGTCTCTGGCGGAAACCCGCTCCGGGTGAGGGGAAGCCGGCTCGGTCCTCCCCTTACAGGGGGAGCCACCCCGCGGGCGGCGGCGGTCTCGGCCTCCCCTCGCGGCTCCTGAGAAGAGTGAGGGGCGGCGGCGGTGGTGGTGGCGGCGGCCGACTGATTGGCCGGCGAGCGGAGGCGCTCCGGCTGTCTGAGGTAGCGGTGGTAGCTTTTTCGGCTCCTCCTCGGTGCGCCCGGTTCGCAGAGCCTGGAGAAACTGAAATTCAAACTGCTGAAGCGGCGGCTGCAGCTCCCTCCCCTCGGCCAAGATGGGGCTGAAATGGCCGCGCCAGGGATGCTGGGAGGAGCAGCAGCCCCGCTGCCGCCGCCGCTGTCGACTAAAATGCCGCCGCTGCCGCAGCCACCGCCAGCGCCGCAGCCGCCGCCGTTCCGTGACGCACCGGCGTCGTGACGTCACCGCCCCGCCCCCTCCGGTTTCCTGCAGTTTCGCTTGGAGGCTTGAGGGGGAGGCGGTGGGAGGGACTAAAGGTTAAAAAAGGGGAGCGTTTTGTTTTTTTTTTTAATTTAAAAATTTTTAAATTTAAAATATACGCTGTAGGTCTTTTAGACTTGAAGAGCTGAAGACTCTTAAATTCCAAGCCTAGAGAAGCTTACAACCGCGCCAGTCGGTTTTGTTACGAGACGTTGGAAGACTGGATGGAGGTCATGTGCTGTGTCTAATGTTCAGCAAAATCTTACAGAAACAAGGGCGATAGAAATGGGGGTTAGGGAGATTTAGTCAGGATAAAAGGGAGACCAACGGAGGAAGCGAATCTCTTAAAAAAGGTCTTCTGGAAATGAATGTTGACCACTGTAGTAAGAGGAGTGAAATGTTGAGAGAAATGGGGATGATTAACCAAGAATAGCAAGCCAGATTGAGTCAGAAAACTGATCTTTCAGCCAGAAATTCTGTCTCCAACAATGGCATCAGGAGATGGTTACTTGCCCAGGGTGAGGTCAGTTTAAAAAAAGATTAGGGGTTATTACCAACATAACCCCAATTTTCCTGAGTTTTGCTGTGATTTCAGCATTGAAGAGTTCATTTAAACTCTTAAGACTGTTTGTACTTTCAGCACGAAATCAGCTTATGGGCTCCATAAATGTAGAACTTACTGCGTTAAATGGTTATAGTTCTTTCTTTTGTTTATTCTAAAACTCTTAGTTGGAGCCAGAGTGTTACATGGTTTGAATTGGGCCATGAACAACCAGAACAAGTCAGTTCAGAGAGCAGCTATGAAGTACTGGAGATTTTATCATCTTTTAGCTACTTTCTGGCGAAAGAAAGTGGTATGGCCATTCTCTTAAACAGTTTTAAAAAAATGGGGAAGGTGGCTCTTGAACTTTGACACATTAATACATATCTAAGTAAAATGCAAGAAATCTTGCGGGGGGGGCAATCAAGATTTCATATCACAGCTTTAGCAGTCGTTATCGTTATGACTTACATAAATCAGTTAATCATTATACTCAGTTCTCTAATCTTTGAAGAGTAGAAATACTTTTTATGCCTAAGGATATTTTGATAATGATAGTTTAGAGAAAAAGTTTAGGTCCTTAGTTGTAAATAGCATACAGACACATGGCTTTTAACCTTAGTAAAAACCACGTCCTCCAAACCCAAGTGAAGGAGGTTAGGATGCGAAATAAGACCACATAATAACATCCCTGTTTCTTAAGAAGATTGGAGAGAATAAAGGAACAAAGTGTAATATATGCTGCTATTGTGGCAGAGGTAGCTAATGGAATGTTTCATTTCTAACTCTGTAATTTTGGTAATTGTTAGAGATATTTTCCATTAATAAGTTAGATCAACTGGTTAAATCAAATATAAACTTACAAGAGCTCAATTTAACTTCGGATTGATTTACTGTATTAAATGGTGGTCAATTTTCGAAAAATAAGTATCGGATGCCTGCTTGTCTCATTACATTATCTTATTACATAAACTTTTTGATTACTTGTTGTGATTATCTTTAATCACACAAAGGAAAAATCTAAAGTCATCCTGTAAGATGATTTCTCCTTAAAGAACACATTAAGGATTTATTATGAAATGAAAGTAATAATTTAGAAGAGATCAGTAAGGGGCTATATTGTTGGTAAGAATGGGGTTAAAGATGTTAAAAGACATCTTAGCCTAAAATAAGATGTATAAAGTTAAAATGTTTTATTTATATGCTTAAGAATTTCTGTGTGAATAAAATGGTTCTTTTGAAAGTAAGCTTTCCAAAAGTCTTAAAGGCTCTAGCTTCTTTTATACATTTGCTGCTTAGAAATGTAGAGAATTTATTCCATAAAATTGCTATGAAGAAATAATAAAGATTCTGGTTGTTACAAATAGGTTCGAAAACATTTTATGGAAAAAAGAAAAACATAGAACTGTCATCAGACTACACAACTATGTAATTCATGGTTGGCCCACAAAGGATTAAGAGCCTCCACATAACTAATTAAAATGTTAGGAAACCAGATGTACCAGTCAGTATATACGCTTGGGTGTGTGTGGAAAGTTGACAGTAAGTAACATGGTAGCCTAACTCACTGGAATGGGAGAGATCTCTGGAGTCCTTCAAACCTCGAGACCAAGGGTCTTAATGCAATTATCCTGGCTCCATGCTTACACCCAAAAGCCACATGTGGAAACTGGAAATCCTTGATTACTGTTCCAGAGCATCCAACTTGACTGTCCTACATCTGGTACTTCCCTCAAAGACTTACTTTAAAGCCATGTATGGAGGGTATGTTTAGGAAGAACAATGCAGGGGGGAAGAAAAAAACAATTGCAACAACTTAGAAACTAAGGACGGTTTCCACCAATGACCAAGAAAACCAAAACCAAACCAAACAAACACCACAACTACTATAGCAAGATTTCATCTTTTCAGAGTATCATACTCCAAATTCTACTAGGTTATTATCTAACCATATCAGTACCAGATGGCAAATTATTTCATAGTCACAAGATCCTGGAATGTGAACTGTAGATACTCAAGAAAACCTTTTTTATTTTTTCAACAAGTACATAATACATTTAAAATAGTAATAGTACATTAATACTTTGGGATAGAGAAAATAAAACCACATTTTTAGGAGAACTTAAGCAACTACTTAGCTAAGAGAAGTAGTCCTTTAGAGTTAACACTATCGGTCAGTGACATTTATTGAGCCCTCCATGTGTGCATTAAGAATTGCACAGCCTGCATCCTAGCCAACAACTTTTTCTGGGATTTAGAAATAGCTTATGTTTACTTTATATTTTTTTATCACTAAATTGTTAGAAAAATACAAAATGGAGGACTAGTTTTCAGATTCCAAAAAGCATTTGCTGGAAATAAATATCAGTTGTCTAAACAAGTAGCACTTGATTTATTACTATGATTTTCCTGGGGTTCCATTTCTGGAACCATATCTTACTAATAACCCCTTGCAGTGAGGCCATTGCATAGTATTATCTGAAAAGTCAAAAACAAAAACAACAACGACAACAAAAACTGCAATGAAAGAAGACTTAAGCCTAGTGGAATTCCATAAATACTTTTATGAAAGAAAACATAATCTCATTGAAATGCACAACATCTTCATCATTTCAGAGTGAATGATATGTGTATAATTTTCACATTTAAGAGAAGTTCTATTAGATAGTTTTCTTACATTCAATATACTATGAAACAATAGTGTCTTTTTTAATAGTGAAGATTCCCTTGAGTCCCAAAGATCTTTGAAGTTCAGGCAAAATATAGCAATCCGATGGAAGAAAATGGTGCATTTTGAACTAATAATAAATAGAATGTCCTATTAAAGTCTGTTTTCTTCTATTATGGTACTTAATTTAGAATCTAAAATATTATGTGGTTCTGAAATCTAGCTTTATACTGCAATGTGATTTCAATAGCAAATCTGTTAGTAATTATATTACCTTTAAATATATGTATATTTAATATATACATGCTTTATATAATATATATAATGTATATGTATATTACACACACACACACACACACACACACACACACACACACACACACACACAGGTTTGTGACCAGTTGGGACAAAATTAAATAAATCTACATTGCCTTTTGGAGAAAACTTGAGATCAAGAGTAGCTTCAGTTTTGTCATAAACTTGTTTTGTGACTGTTGACTAGTCTATTAATCCCTCAATTTCCCATCACTAAAAAGAAGTAGCATTGTGGTGACGAGATGTTAAACTCTCAATCCCACTGGGAGAGTAGAAAGAGAAAGATAACACGTATGGCAGTGTTTTGGTGTCTTTAGAAGAAAGATGACAACTAATGTGATACTATTGGCAGTAATATTTTCAATGTCATTTGTTAATTAAAAAAGAAAGTTACTTGGGGCACCTTGCTGGCTTAGTGGGTAGAGCATGCAACTCTTGGTCTCAAGGTTATAAATTTGAGCCCCACGATGGATGTAGAGATTACTTAAAAAAAATAAAATAGCGGGGTGCCTGGGTGGCTCAGTGGGTTAAGCCGCTGCCTTCGGCTCAGGTCATGATCCCAGGTCTGGGTTCAAGCCCCACATCGGGCTTTCTGCTCAGCAGGGAGCCTGCTTCCTCCTCTCTCTCTGCCTGCCTCTCTGCCTGCTTGTGATTTCTCTCTGTCAAATAAATAAATAAAATCTTAAAAAAAAAAAATAGAGATGCTGGGTTCACTTGGTTAAGTGTCCAACTCTTGGTTTTGGTTCAGTTCATGAACTCGTGGCTCGTGAGTTGGAGCCCTGAGTCCGGCTCTGCCCTCAGAGGGGAGTCTGCTTGAGGATTCTCTCCTTCTGCCCTTCTCCCAGCTCGCACGCACACACTTGCTCTCTTTCCCCGTCTCTGTCTCTGTCTCTCTGTCTCTCTCTCTCTCTCTCGCATGCTCTCTCAAATAAATAAATCTTTTTTAAAAAATAAATAGAATACAAGTCTTAAAAAAAAGTTACTAGGTATATGTGATTTTATGAAGAACCCATGTTCTCTCATAGATGAGCTAATTATTTAAAGACATTTAATGGGATATCCTTTAGTAAGGTGAATCATCACCATCTATTCTGCCTTTCTAGTATATGTGAATTTGGTGTAAGCACAGTGTAATTATGTATTGCTTCAAGTGGTAGTATACCTGTAATTTTAAGTTGTAACTTTAACACTCACAAAAGAGCATTGAAAGACATTGCCAATTTCTAGACTTCTAGGTTATAGTTTGTTCCGTAGGTTACTATTACCGGCTTATAAAGTTCAAAAAAAAATGTGGTTGAGTGTAGAAACTTGTATAAACTGGATTTAGACATGAAGGACGGTCTAAGTGTTGACTGATAATCTGATGGTCATTCTGACTTAGCTGATTGGGACTAATTTTAATTCATAGGAACCAATGGTTGAAAGGCACAAATATAATCTCGACTACTTTGTATTAGCAGTTATATTTTAATTCCAAAATAACTAGCTCTTTACTTATTGGAAACAAAACACTTTTAGCATTTAAC